GGTTAGGTAATCATCTAATCAGAAATGTGACACGTGATTCTTAACATTCTAGACGCTTCTGAGGAACTTCTATTCAATACTGATTAGATAAAACGTTCCCCAGTGTTTTCAGGGACCCTTTGGGCTTTTTTCAAGGGATTTTTCGCAGTCTTCCTAACAATCAGCATATCAGATCTGAAATGATTTACATTTATATTTCATTTACCATTATGAAAACGGCACTTTCATGAACTAATAATAATAAATAAAACGTTCAACCTCTCATTGTAACTTGTCTGCAAAATAGAAATTTAAGGCTTTATGGATCGACGTAGTGTGATTTCTGAGGAAAAACGGAACTACATAAAAACCTGTGAAGCCGATTCTGGAAGTTTGAAAATACGAATAAAAGCTATTTGGCATAAAAACAGTCTTCATGGATCACTGATGACTAAGTTTAAGTTGCAATTTTTATTAATCAAAACTGGTTCCATCAAATTTCAATATTTTACGTTTATGGTCAATAAAGTTTAGAAGGTAACTTATCTATAATAAGGACTGGAGATTCGCGGTTTAGTCTCCGACGAGTTCTAGAGTTTGCACTTTTGAGTACTACTATTGATCCTTCAGTGGGACAGGAAATCAATCTGTTTTGAAATTTCTATTTAGGTCAGTGAAACAATCATTGGGATTTTAAAACAGGTGTGGTGAGACTAATTTATGAACGACCTTTGAGCGACGCCAAAGTGACCTTGAGAATATCCACCTACTTACTATGGACAATTGAAGGGTTATAAAGCAGTGTGAAGAATAAGGATTGTGGGTTGCAGTTGATGGTTAGGATAAGGAATTGGATTTAGGGCTTTCATCATGAACTAACATCAGTTAACATGCCAGAACGCTATTTAATCAAATGGATGAGTGAATTTCGCACCAAAATCCAAGACCTGTTATCTTACATCTGATTGGTTCGTCCATAAATTATAGTCTTGCCAAAGAAGTTATCAAATACTAGGAACATAGAAACACAAAGAAACGCGTATACACTAAACAAGAAACGAAGTCAATGCAATACTTACAATTAATAGGAGGAACCAGAAATATTGATGAATTAAGCTTAATATAGTGACTAAACTGCACATGATTATTGCATCTTTAGCTTGTCTGAAAAGAAGAGAACACCGTTAACAACAACAAGTAAATAATAAAAAAGTATACAATATTGAAAAAAGCAGCTATATAAAGTAAAACGAAAAGAATGAGAGAAATGTAGGTCAATGTGAACGAAAACAATTCGAACAATCAATGCATCATGAGATAAATGAAAATAACTATAAGTTATGAGAATGTGAGTTGTGTTCTGCTTTAAAGAATAATTTAACTCTTCTCCAGCTACTCTTCAGTTGTTACCCACTATTCTGAAACAATCAAATTGACAAACTGAAATACGTTATCCATACCTCGATTCTTAATAAAGTTCCAGAACGTATATTTAAATTAAAGCAACGGTAAGTAGTAGGCCTTCAAAAATCCTTAAGGATGATGATCTAGTTTTCGCAGTTAGACGGACTGAGATATTAATCAAAGTCTGCAAACACGGTGTAATCTTATATAAAACTGGTCGCAATCGCTAGACATCAAGATTTTTAGAATAGGACAAAAATCCTCTCATGATAACTATAGAAGAATCGGTTTGAAGAATATATTATCCAACATGGTGGCTACAAAAATCATATGAATTCTAAGACTCGTGAACAGCGAAACTGAGGAAACTAAGCTGGTTTTAGGCCTGGACATGTGCTGAGGTGGCTAAGTCCACAAATACAATATGCTAAGGAGTCATTCAGTCAGTTATATGAAACATGGGACCTGGCTCATATGTGCATTGGTTTAAGTTGCCACATTAGCTTAATGAGATAAAATGATCAAGAAGTAACAGTATTATTAGTAATAGGACAGATTAGTTGGAGAAATAAATAAAAATTATACGGAGATTTCAGGACTCAAGATACAAGGAAAAACAAACAGTGAATGCAACCGCAAACATTTTTGAGCACACACACACACACAAAATACATTACAAAGAGATTAATCTTAAAATTCACAAACTGATTGAAGAAATGGTAAATTATGAAAGCTGCTTTTAGGTTATCAGTTAGCCTAATTTGTAGTCAGTAAATTATTTACAGCTATTTTATGTAACTACCTTACTTGCTTGATCATAAGCAATCGTGTAATTTATCAACTATTGTCATTTCTTCTTCCTGATTTATTGTATTTTAAATAGCAGCCTTACTTCCTGTTTTGCATATATTGTATTTTCTAATTTGTTGTGCTTTGTGGTCTAATTATCCCCATATTTAAACGTGTGCTCTTTTAAGTTAGACATAATCGAATATAGAGATTTCCCGCCACAGCTGTCTTCCCTATTCTCTTCCCAGACAATCAGTATTCATGAAGTCAGGGAATAGGATAGTTCCTTGCCCGCAAGGTTAATTAATTACAAGTTGAACTCACGAATTTGCAGTCTGAAGGTTATACTGAGTAACCTAACGCACCGAGGTTGTTAACTAGTTTAGAGACAACCCTCTCTTGATATCTAACTACAAAAACAAGGGGTTCACTAGAGTTACAATACCTAATAAGTTAAGAATCAAGTTGTTAACTAACAGCGTTTATGGATTCTTTAACTTTTTTCGCTCATTTGCATGCTTTTCCATCAAATGGCCTTAGATTAGATTAATAATAAATGATATATAATTTAGTTTCTAACCAATGAATAAATTGATATGATACAGAAACAAAAGTTAAATCTTATTGTTCATAGACTCATCTCACAACTGTGAACATGGATTTACGCTGAGTATATTTAAAATTTAAACCAAATGACTTTGGATGATCGATGCAGTCCTCTTTCATTCTCTTTCCAAGTAAACACAAAACATAAAACTAACAAATGCGATCTGGTTTCATTAAATGAATAACAAAACTACATTTTTGTACTTTTAAGACAAATTCTTTTAAATTATGTTTTTCTCCAACCCAAATCTACACCGACTGTAACTGGATTAAAAGTATAAGAATTTGGTCGGTGATCTGGATAGTAAGATTACAGAGATGATAAATGATTTAATTTGGAATAAGTGCTAGGCTTCAACCAGAATTCTAAAATAGAGGTGCTGAAATTGAACTAGACTCTATGGACGAACCAGTCAGATTTACGATAGCAGATTTTGGATTTTACGTGAATTCTGTTGGTCTTTACAGTTACAGCGCATTCCTCCAGTATAGTTGGCATCAGTTTGTGATGAAAACACTCACTCCTATTAAAACAAATAATTAACCCGATTTTGGACCATATAAGCGATCAAAATTTCGCAAGGTCCCTTTTGTATAATCAATCAAAATAATTCATAAATGTTAGTTTCATCGGTGTTCACATCATTGTAGTATTCAGGACTTAGGAGTTTATACAAAACGAAGTGACATGGATGAAACAGCAGAGATAACTCTTAACGACACTTTTATACGTTGATACCACAGCTTCTTATTCTACTATCTATGACTATTCCAAAACAAAATTCTTGTAGAGAAGATTTATAGGCTAGAATCCAAAAAAATTAGTTCACATTTCAGTTCATCCAATTAAGTTCAGATTAAATTCGGTCTTTGAAAGGAATAAATTGAGCCGAGTCATCACCGAGTATTTCTGATTGATTTACAGAAGTAAAGCGAAACAATAACCATGGGTGGTTGAATGAAAATTACTCATTTCGAGGAAATGATTGGAGTCGAGATTTCGAATTACCATATGTTAACTCAATAAGTTAAACATAAGATGAGACACATAAGACTTAAAATTCTGGGTTTGTCTCCTGAAGCTGATTGTGTGTGTGAGATGCGCATTGCTGAGTAGAACAAAACAGTTGTTTAATGATCCTTGGCATTCGATGACTCACTTTAGCTTAAATCAGCCTGTCAGTCGATTAGTTAGTGGGTCATACCCAATGCAGAAACTGGGATGTATGCACATAAGTTTAAGTTGCCACAGAACAGCACAGATACAAACGTCAGAGTAGTAAAAGTAGTAACAGTATCAGTAGTAATAGAAAACATTTTTTCAATTACAGTCTAGTTAAGGTCAGTTCATGATCTAAATTTTAAAAATTCTACAACCTTTAGAAATCCCTCCATACTTGCAATATCTTTACCCAAAATAACCCAATTATTTAATAAGGGAACAAAGCAAAAAGCGTAAATCACTTACTCTCCGAGTCCGCCGGATCCTATATTTAAATCTAGGCCAGCATCCACCAATTGACGAGTTCCCCTTTCGTTGACAGCGTAAGATGGTGAAGCCATGTAGGACATAAATTTATAGGCAGCTAAACAAGCACCGAAGCAGCCTAGTGATAACGTTATGTAACGTTTTGTATAGGTTGACCAGAAAAATGTTAAAGTGATAACGAAATAAACTGTCTGGGAAAAAAACAACATTGACAATAACGAAGGTTGTAACAAAGTGTCCAAACACTAAGTCTAAGATAAGAATATAACCGATAATGAACATGATAAAATTAACCGGTCAGAAACGAAGTAAGAGCTGAGAATGATATGTATCGTTCCAGGTTGCACATCTGACATTAAGACTGAAAGAGGAAATTAGCAAGTTGAAAACCAATAAAGAACGAGTCAGTGCCTAATACAACAGAAGGTTAAACATATGTGCAACAAAAAGAACGATGATGAGTGTTAAATAGTACCATGTTCAAGGAAGAGAGAAATGTATGACGGATACAACTGCACTATTGTGACTGACTCTGAGAAATGGTATTTATCGCCTCTACCCATAAACTATGATTATCCACTGGAACACAATCGAGAAATAAGTTGCTAATGACACAAGTCAGTTTAGCAATCAATGGCACCAGCAACTGATGCCATGCTCGTATTTAAGCACCCCTATCCTTTTATGAAACTACCCCAATACAAGCCAATATTATTAGGATATACTATGGATATACATTTGTGACATGTGTCCCAAAGACGCCAATCGACAGCCTATAATCTCATCAGTCGAATAACTGTTTTGGAAACCAACCTTAGTACTAACGTGTGAGTCAGTCACTTGATGGTTATATTATTACTGAGTAATGCTTCCGAGAAGACTATGATTGGAGACATGCATTGTAGACAAGATTAAATATCAAGTATTATACTAACGAAAAATTCCCATTTAAGCGTTTAGTAAAGACAAACTTCGAATATATATATATATATATATATATATATATATATAGAGAGAGAGAGAGAGAGAGAGAAAAGAGAGAAGGTCATTACGAAAAATTAACTGAAAAGAAATTTCTTCGCCTAACTAGTGTTTACAAAGTATAATAACTTAGCATACCTAATATTTAACTTAGACTCGGTTTTTTGGTAATTTAACTAAAGATGTTTTGGAATTCCTTATTGTATAAGAAGAAATAGCTGGTAAGAATGGACGAAATATTCAACTGGTAGTCTTCAATCGTCTGAATATGTCTTTAAAGTAACGTTTCAGCATATAGTTGAAAAGATAGGTGGGGAATAACAAACCTAAAGGTTTATTTTGAACTTTTCTCTCAAGAAATTAAGGGGTCTTTACCATTATGCTTAATTTCAAGTGGAAATGAGGTTTTCTAGTTAAAAGAAAAGATAACCAGGGGTAATTCAGAACGTGAAATAAATATGCATCGATCTACGCTATCAGATTGTTCGCACCAACGCGGGAAGGATCGAAAATAGTAAAAATTAGGTAAAGAAACCTGTAAAATCGAAGAATGAGTGGTGTGAAATAGTTTAAAACTTTTGTCATGATGCAAACTAGATACAGCTCACCAGTATCACTAGTTTTAAATCACAGAGCCCAAACTTTACAACAGTTAGTCCCAGTCGGTTGCGAATATTCACCAATAAGTTTGCGATTTTTCTTTATTGTTAAGTTTAAAATATCGACGATTTCAAAGATTATTATGAAATGCATGAGTTTAGTCATCATAATGTTTCGTTCCGTCATCGATAAACTGAGCCATAACAATACATTGAAGTGTGTGGTAGAAACACAAGTGCAAAGTAGATCACAAAGGCTACAGCTGCTGAGAGTTTAGAACTTCATTTAATCTCCCTTATCTATCAAGTACTCTGAGTCTAACATTAGCAAAGCTCATTTCATGGTTTCAACACAGATAACTAGTATTTTGGGAAATATCCGTGATTGGGTAGTTATATTGACCGTTGAACCAAACTACACCGTAGGGCTAGTGAAATGTCACCGGGCCATAGCTAAATCATCTGACAGTTGGTTCAATGAATGTCGAATAGTTCACCGATCCTCATCACGTTGAAGGACCACCAATGCTCATCAATTAGTGGCACGCCAAGTACTGGCCCATGCGGTGGTGGTCGCACTCTCGTTCTTGTACCTACTCTTACTAATATATTTCTGTAATAACGTCCTTTGTGTTGTGCGGTCTTCAAAGTGACCACAGTACCTTGATAAGACGAAAGGGTAATCCAAGTTAGGTGCTAACGACATGGTATGACTTCGAAGTTAGCAGGTTCGTCATATCATCCCTAATCATTTGACACAGATAATCCACGTTAGTGAACTACAACACTACCAAGTCAACTGGGGATCCAGAATAACATTACAGTATTGTGGAGAATTCCTGCAGTTACAGTTCGCATTGCTTCGGAAAGTTCTTTTAACGTCGTACGCAAATGACCGGTTACTCTTTTCTCTCTAATACATATCTAGTCTGAAATGTAGTTTTATAGAATTTCACCACTCAGCTTCTCGAGTAAATTTAAGTGAGTCTTATCTAAACTACTATATATAGAGCGAATGAAAGAGATATAGAAAGTAATATTGTTAAAAATTATTGACCTTGTCAATAATAAAGAATTGTGAATCTAAAAGTAGTATGATTAAATTTTTTTAATACCTTGAGTGGATGGATTGCGAAGATAATAATTTAGTGAAAATCTATACGTATATATGTCCAGCGAATAGTACTATTTGCTGCCAACTGGCTTCTTACAACTGTTAACACAAACCAACATGCACGTAACCCGTCAAAATGAATAGACTTACACTGTCCATTGCAATCTGTTTAAGTTACCTCGAACACTTAATTCTATTTTCTGATGACATCGACACTTAAACTCAGTATAAACTAGTTAAAGTGAGTTTTACCGACGAATCTGAAACTACATAATGACTCGATATATGTGTATTTGAAATATTGGCAAGAATTAAAGTTTGGAACAAACATAAAAAGTGGTTATGAACGTCCCGATTTAAAATAACTACGAACAAAGGACTTACATAACAGGAAAGAAACAGATAGCGATAGAACTTAAGTGTCCGTACATTTTCTTCATGAATGAGCTTTTCACTCTTAGTTCCTTCTTTATGGGGCTTTTTCTGGCTGAGCATCACCAAAAACAAAACGTGGCCTTGAGGTAACAAAATATTCGGCTACGGCGGTCTTCAATACTCAATACGACTACTCCATATACTTCTAATTTCAAATAACTGGCGCCAATCAACTGGTTTCTCTGCCCTCGCTTCCTGTTGTCCGAGTACGAATCCGGATATCTGACAATATTCAATGAGTGGTAGTTTAGTCAATCTGTTCCACTATTTCTAATCAGTTTCGTAGTTATTTGTGGATTTATATATCTTGTAATTCAAACAAATGGGTCTATGGTTTCTGAATACCAGTATCCATTACAGCGACAGGCAAGAGGTTGTTAGGTTGCACTTTAAGAACTTAAAAAAGATACTACGAATACTAAAAGAGATCGATTGTTGTAAGAATAAATAAATAGTCTGGTTAGTGGAGGATGTGTGAGGAGAGGTAATTGAAAGAGTAAGTGGGGAAGAGGTGCCGATAACAAAATTTGACGCATGCAATTTTAAAAAAATAGCGGTATTTTTTCTCCTTCGGTTAAATTTACAGTTTTGATTGTTTGTTTCTCATCACCACTGATTTTTTCTCTTTAATTGGATTTAGTTCAGTCGGAGTAACATCTAGAGTATCATCTTTTTCAAAAGTAGATTATCACCAGTACATTTTTGAGCTCATTGGTTCTTCTTGTTTGCTGCGTTTTTGACCTGAATGTTTACTTTTTTCACTTCTTTTCTGATTAACCGGCTTCAAAGAGGTCTGTTCGATACAAAAGCTCAAAAAATTGGTTTCTTCTGTAGTGACCTACCTTTGGCAACAGAACGCGATTGGTTCAAAGAAAACAACTATTACTACTATCAATTGTACCAGTGATTGTTTTACAGTGCTCGTTTGTTTAACTAAGCTAATGACAGTTATTGGACTCTCTCTCCCGTTGACTTTGAACTTGTACGAATTCGATTACGCTTAGCACTTACGCTTGTACTCCTTTGGCACGATCTCGGTATTCTTCCGATACCACGAGATAGCCAACAAATACATCTCGACTACAGCCATCATCTGCCTTCTGATATTGGCCTACGGAGATCTTATTGGTTAACTGGAACGTAGTCTCCTTGTAGTGGTGTTCATAGTCAAGCGCGACTCGATACCGCGCTACACTTCTGTCAAAATCCATCCGAATGGTAGGAGGTGGGCAACGACTATAAAGCCTAGTTTTTGGGCTAGGTCTGTTTCTGAAAAAAACAACCTGACCATCTGAGTCATCGACAATCGTTCAGGATCTTACAATGTGTGTAACGCAACTTTGACTGCTACTCCATTGAGAGAGCTGATGAGTAGGTACAAGTTAAGGATAAGAAACGGATCTATATCGTTAAGAAAACGTCAGCATCCCAAACAGCGAATTAGAAATTGATGGTATATCATAATGACAGTCAGTCGTCTCTCATTTATTCAAGCAGAGTGAAATCTCAACCAAGGATTCGTTTTGAGCGAAACATCGGGTTGGTAAAATTTTTACTTAACCAGCAAGTGTCCCAAGGTATATCTTGGTTTACCCTACTGAAGGTTCATAGACTATGAAGCCAAACGGACTTGAAACACAATCAAAGTAGGCTTGTAGTAAGCCGATTCGACTATTGTACTTTTTGTCTACTCACTGTAACTTAGACGCCTACTCCATTATGTTAATTTCTGTATAAGTGTGATTGGGCGCGTGTCTGAACATCAGTCTTTAATCTATTCTCCCTTTGGTTGTAATACACAGATAATCAATAATTTATCCATACTTGATCAACACTCATAATGCTATCAAGTGGACATAAACTAAAAGAGTCAGGAGCTTCGTCCGTGAAGAGTTGCCACTCGTTAAGCCTATGAAAAGGCGAAAAGCTGAAAACGAACAGAAACTAAGGTTAAATGTTGACAAGAAGGACCTTAAAACTGTAAAAATTTTGGTGTTGTAGATTTGACAGTGAATGATTCCGAAGTCATATCGAGTGCACTTCGAAGCCATTTAAGTGGTCTTCGGCTCTATCACAGAAACGCTCGAAACTTGCTAAGTAAACAAATATACTCTACTGAGCTAGATACGACCGCAGTCACAGGGATTTGGCTGATGCAGTATGTAGACATGCAGTCGGTAGAATGCAGAAGTATAAATGAGGAGGAGTTCTGTTCACCGGATATACTACCTCGTTTACCGTTACCCATAACACATCCCATGAAATTGAAAGGTGGGCATTGGTTAGTTGCCGCCTTAAATGCAGAGAAAAATAGTTAATGTTTGATTCAGCCTACCCCAGTTTAGTAAGTGATGTGTGGTTAGATGGTTTCAACACTTGGTTTCTTCGAACAGAACAACATGTGAGGAACTAGGTTCCAGTGTTGATGACGTCACGGACCTCCATTATATGCCACCATAAGTTAACATTTACCAGGCAGTCCTAGTCTTTGATCTCCAAATTTTTGTTTATAACGTGGGTGTGTCAGCCTAATCCAGTCTGTAAAGTAAATACACAAAATATTATGCACTCAGAATCTCCAATAGATTGGTCAACAGAAACAGAGTCTCCCGTGGAAACATCTGAGATGTATTCGAGAATTTTTCCATCAAAGTCACTGCACCTCACATTCCTTGAACCTTACCTAAAGGTCCGAGAAACTCCCGACTGTAGAACAGTAAAGAGGTTGGCAACCTCCTTCGTAAAAGAAGAACATAACAGTGACTTAAGTTGCTGGTTACTGATGAGATAAAATCACAATATCCGGAAGCTTGAAATATTTATGCCTCGACCCACCGCTGTCTAGAAAGTTGTACGAAGAGAAAATTGCTAAGGAATCTCGTACTCGTACATAGACCAGGTTAGTAAGAGAAAATGATATATTCCAGCGTTATAGAGAGACTGTAGTATTTCATCATCAGTGGAAGACGATTATGGTAAAGACCAGGCATTCCCGAACTACTTTAGCACTTTATATGCAGTGGAGGTGCTCTCACCTTCGGTTCATACACAACCCATACACAGTGGGTACTGTAAGCACTGAAGAACCCGATTTTTTTGGTTTTTTAAACGGGGTGGACATGGGCATATCTATAAAACTGGATGAAATGAATCTTAGGTTACTAGAGGCACTTGCAAACTTTGTGATAAATCTCATGAGCTTTTGTTTTAATCTGTCTGTAACCCAAAGTGGGCTAACAAAAGACTGGAAAAACTCCATAATAAGTCCTGTCTTCAAAACAGGTTCGCGACGCAAGCCCGATAACTGTCAATCAGTAAACCTGATCACCGTGGTTGTCAAGATTTCAGAGAAATTTGTTTTAAAGTCTTTTAAGTATGCAGACGGAAACCGGATTCTTTCTGAAAGACGAAATGGCCTTAAAACAGGTTACTCATGCCTCACAATCTTATTAGTAGCTTGTAAACCATGGATGAATATGCATTTGTCAAGTCTCTTCTTAAAGCTATCCACTGATGAGTTTATGGTCGCTTCGATTGTTATGTCTCAGTCGGTGTTTAGTGTATTTATAGTTTCTACCGTAATAATATATCCAGTCGCGAAATTGTAGATTTGTCATGATGTAAATACCTAATATATATGATCGCATATAGAAGTCGTACTGTGTATACTTACTCGTCCTTTCATGACGGTTAGCAGTATGGTCTTTAGGACTTCTGGAGAACACATTAAGGCTGGGAGCAGAATAATGTGTCCAATAAGAAAGGTAAGTAGTTGCACAGTGATCGCGCCTGTATCGCCTGACCATGCTGTACCGATTAATTGTTCTACCTTCACCATCGCTGACCTGCTGTTCGTGTCAGATGTTGAATGTTTCGGATTTTGTCCGGTAGCTTGTCTTCAAAGCACCTATAAATCTCTAAGGATTTAAGCATTTCATCTGCTTCAAAATGCCAAATAAGGACTTCATTTAGAATCCTTTAGAGAGACTCCGTTTTTTGCCAGGCTCTCCATTTGGCCTTTAGCTAACGTTACATCGTTCGCTTAACCCGGAACCTTCTTTTTCGAGCTGTGTGCTGACTCTGAGATAGATTGTGCTGGATAGTATTGTAAATGATGTCTTTCACTATCTTCCAGGAGTCGTACACTGTTAGCCTCCAACGCTCTCGAAACCACGGGGCGTATTAAAGATGCCTTCTCGTCGTATAGTTCGCTCAAGTGTAGCCAAGGTAGGGAACGATTCCAACTCTACAAAGTATCTCGTTTGTGACCGCGTTAAACATGACTGTATCATGGTCAATAATTTCCGTTGGTGTGTGGACATGAATATCTCCAAGTAGAATCTGGTCAATTGTCAGTAATTAGTCCAGGTTTGAACGTTTTCCGTCCCAGTCTCATTTTGCTGCACCGTACACATGTTCAGTCCGTTCAAACCTTTTAATAGTTATGTCAATCCACCTATGGAACCACCCTTAAGGGGTTATGTCCTGCTGGATGAGATTTAAAGACGGAGAGTTGAAGTCTTCAGCTTAGAAACTGACTTAATAAAATAGAATGAGTCTAAGTATTTCTACTCCAGTTATTCTTTCACAAATGAACAGAATTCACTGGCCATAAACACAGTTATTTCTGCTTCTTGCCCTTACTTTTCTCTCTTTTGTTTCAATACCCTCATTGTGTACCACCAAATCATCCATAGAACATATAGCTTTGTTCTGCGCCGTCACGTATACCTCAGGGCCTATTTGAGATTTTTATCAAGAAACACAAACTAATAAGTTCAAGTTAACATCTTTGATTGACTGTCCTGTACTTTATTTGTAGTCATTTTCGACCACCAATTCCTTGTCGCGCCAACTTTCGTATTGACATAAGAGTCATACTAGCAATAATATTCTAATGTATGAAGAATTTTCCCTTATTTAGATTACTCACGTGCGCTATAACTTATCAACATAGTAGATCAACTTATTCAATGAAAGCATGTAGCATTTGTAAGTCATTGTTCTTGCCTGTAAACTGGCATGTCTCATGTAAAATTACGTTATCTGAGAATATATATATATATAAATATATATATATATATATATATATTAGTATTTGGCCAAACCACAGGTGTGGTGGATGTAATAC